CCCCCCCCCCCCCCCCCCGCAGGCCCACCTGGCACTCCTGCCTGCTCTGCTCTTCTGCCTGCTGCTGCTCCAGCAGCTTCTCCCCCTCCTTCTTCAGCGGCCCCAGGAGGGCATCGAGGAAGCCCTGCGCAGGAGAGAAGCAGCGAGGAGTTGTCGGCCCCCACACTGGCCGCCAGTGGGGAGAACCCCCTGCTAGGCTCTGGGGCTTTGTGTGGGGAGGACCCAGCCTGGGGGAGGACCCTGGCAAGGCTGCTGCTGGCAGGAGAGCAGCCGGAAGGCAGGCGGCCTCCTGTCTTCTCTCCCGCTGACGGAAAACACAGGGACTGCTCCTCCGCCATTCGTAACCTGGCCTTTCCAGCAGCCTTTGGGAGCCTCCTGGGTGCCACCGGGATCTTTCCACCCTTCCAGAAAGTGACTTCTGGGCCCCCTCTGCCCTGCCCCCCGAGAGTGGGAGGGTTGATGGAGTGCCTTCTGCAGGTTGGGGGGGGCTGCCCAGCTCTCCCCTTTAGAAGGCCTGCCTCACTGGAGGCTAGTTCTTCTCACCCCCCACGGTGCCTGCCCCCTACCTTGTACACCTGGGCAGCCTCGGGCAGAGAGAGGAGGGCGTGGCTCTGGTGCCCCCCCAGGCAGGCAGGGCAGAGGAGGCATTTCTCGGTGGAACAGAAGGACTGCAGGGGCTGCTGGTGTTCCCGGCACAGCTGGCGGCTGCCTTCCTCCTCCTCAGTTCCCTCCTGCAACAGCTGGAGCCTCTTCACCAGGCAGACCACGTTGGCCAGGGGCTGGTTTGGCCGGGCGCTGCCAGGGTCCACTGTTGCTCTGCACTGGGGGCAGGAAGCAGCGCTGCCCAGTTGGGCCAGGCAGTCACGGCAGAAGTTGTGCCCGCAGGCCAGGCCCATCGGATGCTTGAAGTAGTCCAGGCAGAGGGGGCAGGTGGCCTCTTCCCCCAGGGCCCGCAGGGCCGCCTCCTCCCCACCCTCCGGGGTTGCCATGGAGCTTCTTCAGCTCGGTTTCCTTTCCTTGCAGGGCCTGGAAAGAAAAGTTGCTTGTCAGCTCCCAAGGGCAGGTGGGGGCTCTTGGGGGGAGTGTCCCCTTTTTTTCCCATCTTCTCCCCTCCTGCAGGTGAAGGAGACATGCTCTGAATCCCCTCCCCCAATTAAAACCCGGAGGCAGTAACCCTTTGCCTCTTCTGCCTCTGCACTGCACGGAGAGCCTCTGCAGGAATTCCCCAGAGAGGCTCTTGCACGCGCCTATGGAGTGGCGGGGGTGGGTGGCTAGGTGGGCTGCCCAGTAGCCAGGGAACAGAGAAAAGCAGGCCTCCTTGGAGTCTGGTGCTTCTGGGGACCCCTCTGCCTTCACTCGGCACCAGCACAGTGGTTGTCCTGAGCCCCTCCCTTCCCTGCTAGTCCTCCCGGGCCAAGACCTACCCCCCCAGCCCACAAACATATTGGGGGACAGCAAGAGAAAAATCTGGTTTGAATCCTCCCACTTTGAGGGTGCCCCCCTTACCAGCTGGGGTGCCATTCAATGGTCGATTTCACACCCTCTAGTCTAAGCAGGGTGGCATTTCTTGGGGCGGGGGAGAGAAAGTGGACCTCGCCTTCGCCTGCAAAGCGTCCTCTACTCCAGCCTTCAGGCGGCAGGGCTGCTCTCGCACCCGGGACTGCCGCTCTCTCCGCAGGGCAGTTACTGCGGGCTTCAAATCTATCCGGCCAAGAGGCGGCGAGGAGCAGCGGGGCCCTCCCGACCACGAGCGGGCGGCGAAGGCAGGGGCCCAACGCGCTCGCGCAACTGGGCAGGGCGCTAAAAGGGGGCTCCTCCGAGCCCCGCCGCCCCCCCCC